GGCCAGCCAGATCACTCAAGGTCCCCACTCCTTTATTCCTTACAGCTCAATTCAGTAAGCATAATTATCAAACCTATTTTACAGGTGAGGAAACTGAAGCTTGATTGATCGAGCCAGAGGTCGAACCCAGATGTGTCTGACACTACATCTCCAAACCTCTATACAAGCCAACATTGCATCTGAAATTCATGGCTTCCTTACTCTCTTAAATCATTTCCAAGTGAGTTGATTCTATGGTTTACAGACCTGAAAGCAGTTAATCATGGAAACGTTGAGAAATAAACTGGTTTTTCATTTTCTGCCATTCTACTCATCATCCCTTTTGCTGACAGTCTGCTGCAATGAAAAGGCTCTATTTACTTTATTTTAAAACAGCTTTAGTGTGTTATAATTCATATATCATACAATTCACCTATTTAAAATGTGCTATTCAGTGGCTTTTAGCATATTTACAGAGTTGTGCAACAAGCACTGCTATCGAATTCCAGGGCATTTTCATCACCCAAAAAGAAACCCCAACCCATTAACAGTCACTCCTCATTCTCCCTCCCTCCAGTCCCTGGTAACCACTAATCTACTTTCTGTCTTTACTGCCAACTCTGGACATTTCATACAAATGAATCATACAAAATGTGGTCTTTTGTGTCTGGCTTCTTCACTTAGTATAATGTCTTCAGGGTTTATCCAGGTTGTATCATGTGTCAGTACTTCATTACATTTTATTTCTGAATAATACTCTATTATATGAATATTTCACATTTTCTTTACCCATTCACAGTTGACAAACATTTGGATTGTTCTCACTTTGTGACTATAGTAAATAATATTGCTAATAACATTGAATCCATTTACTTTTAATTCATCAGACTTTCACCCTGAAGGTTACCATGAGCTCCCATAAGTAACAAATTGCTGGAAGCAAAAAAGCTGATGATCCCTGAGCAAGACAGCCATATGTGTATCATATGCAGGGTGATCCACTCTGCCCAGTTTCCCACAACTTTCCCATTTTTAGTACTTAAAGTCTTGCGGAAACTTTGCCCCAGGAAAAATGCAACAGTTGATCATCCTAGACTGGGATTTAGCTCAGAAGACAATTCTAGAAAATCTACTTTGGGGATGTTTTGTGGTTTCTGATAATGGTGTAGTTATATTTAAAGAAACTAGTTTATGCAGTAACCATCATTATGCATACTTTCATTTAACAGGAAAAAAATATTTTTAATTCTTACATAGTGAACAATGTCTCACATTTTTATATATACTCATTTTGGAGTTACAATCGATGAGGCTATTTGTCTTGCATAATTTTTAAGTGGAATACTAGTTACATATTCAAAGGCCTTGTTGGGGCCAGGCACAGTGGCTCACACCTATAATTCCAACACTTGGGAGGCCAGGGTGGGTGGATCACGTGAGCCCAAGAGTTTGAGACCAGCCCAGCCAACATGGTAAAACCCTTCATCTCTACAAAAAAATACAAAAATTAATCGGGGTTGTGGCACGGGCCTGTACCCCCAGCCTCTCGGAGGTTGAGATGAGAGGCTCACTTGAGCCCTGAAGGCAGAGATTGCATTGAGCAGAGATGGAGCCACTGTACTCCGTTCTGGGTGGCAGAGCAAGACCCCGTCTCAAAGACAAAAAAAAAAAAAAGCCTTGCTAAAAGCTGAAAAACTTATGTCCACAGGGTGGCGGTGTGATACTCTACAAACTCAAAATCGGCATAAAAGCTAAATTAATCAAACTTCATCTTTTTTTTTTTTTTTTTTTTGACAGACTTTCACTCATGTTACCCAGGCTGGAGTGCAATGGCGCGATCTCGGCTCACCGCAACCTCCGCCTCCTGGGTTCAGGCAATTCTCCTGCCTCAGCCTCCTGAGTAGCTGGGATTACAGGCATGCGCCACCATGCCCAGCTGATTTTTTGTATTTTTAGTAGAGACGGGGTTTCACCATGTTGACCAGGATGGTCTCGATCTCTTGACCTTGTGATCCACCCGCCTTGGCCTCCCAAAGTGCTGGGATTACAGGCTTGAGCCACCGCGCCCGGCCCAAACTTCATCTTTTATTGAAACTAAGTGATTTTATGGGAAAATGGATAAGACTAACCATTTTTACTTGTGAAACCTGTGGCTTTATTTTACAGTAATAATCAGTCACTGGCTAACTGTGGATATATCTGAACCACATGTTAAAGACAAGAAATACAAATAATACCTTTTTTGGAGGTTGTTTTAAAAATGCCGGCGGGGTGCGGTGGCTCACGGCCATAATACCAGCACTTTGGGAGGCTGAGGTGGGCAGATCACCAGGTAAGAGTTTGAGACCAGCCTGAGCAACACGGTGAAACCCTGTCTCTACTAAAATACAAAAAATTAGCTGGGTGTGGTGGCGGGTGCCTATAGTTTCAGCTACTCGAGAGGCTGAGGCAGGAGAATCACTTGAACCCAAGAGATGGAGGCTGCAGTGAGCCGAGATTGTGCCACTGTGCTCCAGCCTGAGTGACAGAGCAAGACTCTGTCTCAAAAAAAAAAAAAAAAAAGTGCTTTTGACAGAATTATAGATTCACAGAAACCTTAGAAATCACACAATTTAGTATTTTCAGACATTTTCCGACCAAAAAAACCCCAAGTCACATTTCTAGTTCTATATATGCTTATAATATTTAATACAAGGCAAGTTCACCTCTTTGCCTTCATTTAAGAAAGACTATTGAAATTCACATGAGTGACTTTAAGGGACATTATAAGGGTAATCTCAAATCTTTATTTTTAAATTAATTATTCCCTGGCTTCAATCCTTGATTTTTAGAAATGCCTTACTTCTACATGGTTTACGGTCAATCCCAACACAAGTGTGTGAGAGTCCTTAAAGTAAGAAAGTATGATCTTACAGTAACCTCGCATTGAATGCCAGACCCACTCCTACAACATCCTTAACAGATATCTACCCTCAGGGAAATGAACACAAAAACAATGACCTTTTATCTGCATCAGCACCATTAGCATAAAGTCAGTGTGTGCAAGCCTGGCATTTATTTTGTATATTTTTTTTCTTCTAGACTCTTTTTTTCCCTAGGAAAAGAAAAAAGAGTCTAGAAGAAAATGTATACTTTTTCTAGCAAACAGCAAAAGACTTGGAATTTAGAAGCTATGTTAGTTTGTTCATGTGATTAAAGGTAAGGAAAAATGTATGCACCGGCAACTGACATGATTAAAAAACAACACTGAAATCTCTGAGAAAAACAGCTTCTCTGTTATGGTTGGTAACTCGCACCCCAGGCCAGTTTTCACCTTCTGTTAATAATGAGGCACCATAGGCTCAACAGCTGAGCAAAGATAATTTAGCAAAAGAAAGATAATCACAAACTAAATTTGAACCTGGTGATATATATTTGTATTTTCTTCCCTTTTTGTATCAACTTACGATTTTCATGGAAGAAAAGGCAATTTGATCTCTCAGGGCTTTTTATGCTGTTATTTGTTTTCTTCTAGAAGTCTTCAGTTCAATCTTAGTGGTGTTTCTTTTAGCCACGTTGATTCAGACCATTTATGATGGCAGTGCTGAAATCCAAACATGTAGACAGTGAAAATTTAATCTAGGAGAGACTAAGACAGCACATGTTTAAATTATCTAACCTGTTCTGTCTATGAACTTTGATTTTGACAATCTAAATACCTACTCCTGTGACTCTTCTAAACAAAACTACTGGATAATAACAATTAGATTGATCTGAAGTTTTTTTGGTTTGTTTTTAATATTAACAACTGCCCTCCTGGACTGCAATCCTCTTGCTACAGAGGAACTTTGAGGCATAAAATATATACCTAGGAGTGTGAAAACTCCCATATTAGTCGGAGTTAAATAATGCTTTCTGTAAGTAGTATTGCCTGATATGTGTGAAGTGATCCTTTGCTAATTAGTTAATACAAGTACTCTCTTTTCCCATGAGGCAGGGACTTCCCACGTGGAGAGTTTCTCAATAGATCCTGAAGTTTATATAATAACATCCTGTTTGGTAGAATAGGCAGCACAAACACTCTTCTGCTGTGCAGATGCTCTTAAGTTTAATTAGGCCCCATTTGTCTATTTTGGCTTTTGTTGCCATTGCTTTTGGTGTTTTAGTCATGAAGTCCTTGCCTGTGCCTATGTCCTGAATGGTTTTGCCTAGGTTTTCTTCTAGGGTTTTTATGGTGTTAGTTCTTATGTTTAAATGTTTAATCCATCTGGAGTTAATTTTTGTATAAGGTGAAAGGAAGGGGTCCAGCTTCAGCTTCCTGCACATAGCTAGCCAGTTTTCCCAACACAATTTATTAAACAGGGAATCCTTTCCCCATTGCTTGTTTTTGTCTGGTTTGTCAAAGATCAGATGGTTGTAGATGTGTGGCGTTGCTTCTGAGGCCTCTGCTCTGTTCCATTGGTCTATATCTCTGTTTCAGTACCAGTACCATGCTGTTTTGATTACTGTAGCCTTGAAGTATAGTTTGAAGTCAGGCAGCATGATGCCTCCAGCTCTGTTCTTTTTGCTTAGGATTGTTTTGGCAATGTGGGCTCTCTTTTGGTTCCATATGAAGTTTGAAGTGGTGTTTTCCAGTTCTGTGAAGAAGGTCACTGGTAGCTTGATGGGGATAGCATTGATTCTATAAATTACTTTGGGCAGTGTGGCCATTTTCACAATGTTGATTCTTCCCAACCATGAACATGGAATGTTTTTCCATCTGTTTTTGTCCTCTCTTATTTCATTGAGCTGTGGTTTGTAGTTCTCCTTGAAGAGATCCTCTACGTCCTTTATTAGTTATATTCCTAGGTATTTATTGTCTTTGTAGCCATTGTGAATAGGAGTTTACTTTCAGTTTGGCTGTCTGTTTGGCTGTTATTGGTGTATAGAAATGCTTGTGATTTCTGCACATTGATTTTGTAACCTGAGACTTTCCTGAAATTGCTTATCAGTTTCAGGAGATTTTGGGCTGAGATGATGAGGTCTTCTAAATATACAATCATATCGCTTCTCAGCCTTTTGGCTAAGATCAAGTGTAGTATCTAAATATACAATCATGTCAACTGCCAATAGAGACAATTCAGCTTCCTCTTTTCCTAATTGAATACCCCTTATTTCTTTTTCTTACCTGATTACTCTGGCTAGAACTTCCAATACTATATTGAATATGAGTGGTGAGAGAGGGCTTCCTTGTCTAGTGCCAGATTTCAAAGGGAATGCTTCCAGTTTTTCCCATTCAGTATGATATTAGCTATGGGTTTATCAAAAATAGCTTTTATTATTTTGTGATATATACAATCAATACCTAGTTTATTGAGGTTTTTAGCATAAAGTGCTGTTGAATTTTGTTGAAGGCCTTCAATGCATCTATTGATATAATCATGTGGTTTTTGTCTTTCATTCTGTTTATGTGATGGATTACGTTTATAGACTTGCGTGGGTTGAACCAGCCTTGCATTCCCAGGATGAAGGCTACTTGATCATGATGAATAAGTTTTTTGATTTGCTGTTGCGTTGTGTTTGCCAGTATTTTATTGAAGATTTTTGTGTCAATGTTCATCATGGATAATGGCGTGAAGTTTTCTTTTTTAGTTGCATCTCTGCCCGGTTTTGGTATTAGGATGATGTTGGTCTCATAAATTGAGTTAGGGAGGATTCCATCTTTTTATATTGTTTGGAATAGTTTCAGAAGGAATGGTACCAGCTCCTCTTTGTACGTCTTTCAAAATTTCCATGGGCCCTCGGGTTAATTGAAAGGATCAGCTCCATAATGATCGCCAGCATAAAACAATCTATGGTAAGGCCAGCTCTGTACAGCTACCACCCCACACCATCTCTCACTGCCCACTCCTGTTTTCTCACCCCACATTGCAGCACTTTCTTTCTCTCTGTCCACCCTTCCTTGCTTCCGGCACTCCTTCCTATACTGAAATCAACTAGACCAAATATTTAGATACAGATTTACCTTGGCTTACCAACATGGACTAATTTTACATTGGAACAAAATATCATTAACCATTATGCAAACACAGTGGTTGTACGATATAAGAAAAAACCTTCTGTACTTCTGAAAATGTGCTTTTGCCTCACTGAAATACCTGTAGGCTAGGCATGGTGGCTCACATCTGTAATCCCAGCACCTTGGGAGGCTGAGATGGGAGAGTCACTTGTGTCCAGAAGTTTGAGACCAGCCTGGGCAACGTAGTGAGAACTTGTCTCTACAAAACATCAAAAATTTGGCTGGGTGTGATGGCTCACACCTGTAATCCTAACACTTTGGGAGGCCAAAGCAGGCAGATTGCTAGAGCCCAGTTCAAGACCAGCCTGGGCAACAGCAAGAAACCCTGTCTCTACAAAAAACACAAAAAATTAGCTAGGCATGATGGTGCATGCCAGTAGTCCCAGATTACCTGAGCCTACCTAGGAGGCGGGGACTGCAGTGAGCTGTGATTACATTACTGCAGGCCAGCATGGGCAACAGAGTGAGACCTTGTTTTGAAAAATAAAAGAAAGAAGGAAATACCTATAAAAGTGACCTTAGAACTGTACTACGCTTTAAAATTACAAAGGCTTTCAAGTATAATATTTTAATACTGCTGATAAGTTTGAGAAGTAGATTTAATTATCTCTCTTTGATAGATGAGGAATCCAGCATTGAGAAAAGCAATTTGATCAAGAACTCACAGTTAATAACTATGTATGCAAATCCAGATCTATTAAATCAAGATCCTCCAGGGTAAGGTCATGAAATACAAATTTCTATCTCTAATTTTAATTTCCAAGACTATTTACTTTAGGCCTGTATAAATCAACTTTATGATTTTTTTCTTGAGAAATATTACCCCAAAATATCCTCTCCAAGAATTTTAACTAGGTTGTTGATGTTTAGCTTCTTGGAGATATTGTCAATGTGCTTTGTTTTGTTTTGTTTTGTTTTGCTTTGTTTTTGTTTTAATATCCTCTTACATGCCATGCCCAGAGAAGGTGTTTAAAAAGTATTTTTTAAAAGAGTGCATGAGTAGAAGGATGAATGGATTGATGGATGGATAGATGGATGGATTGATGGATAAATAGTTGGATGCACTAATCAAGAATCAAGTGAATAAATGAATGAATGAATGAACTTGGAATCATTTGTCTTTTCAATTATTGATGAGAAAATATTGCAACATTTTTATTAGAGCCACTTATATACTCATTTATTTAGTAAGCACTTTTATGCATTTATTTAGTATTTGTTCACTCTAATCAAGCATTGATAATTGAAAATATAAAACTGAAAATTACTCCTCTACTTACATTCATCCAACTCCATTTGATGTACTTAAAAGCCTGAAATGACAAGTTGTTAAGCTTTTGATTTATTTAAGACTCAAAAACTTGGCAATAACCGTCTTCAAAGTATTCAATATGTCAGAGGCAGAGTTCAAGCTACTATTGCCTATAACAATTGACTTTTTTCCTTCAAAAAAGAAAAGCAGAAAAGCTATTTACCCTACAATTTTTACAAGTTAAATATATAGATATTGCAAAAGCAAATTGTCACTGGGTGTACAAAAATTTTTACTAAAGATGGATTGAGCCAGGAAGACTGTGGAAACCAAGAAAAACAAGCCTAACCAGCTTTTCTGGTACAAAAGAATTGAATTTAAAATGAGTCAGATTTAACACTGTAAAATGATTCCTCAAAGTCCTTATTATAACTTTACATATATGAAACCATGTTTTATCTGCATTTAAAACTTTATCTGTATGATGGTCAATGTAATCACAGTATAATAATTATATTTGAATAGCAACATTCTTGTGCCAAAAAATCAAAGTTAAGTTTTGGAAGTTCTGGAGGGATACACACAAAATGTAATAGTGGTTATCTGAGGAGGGTCAGGAAAGGAAATTAAGAAGACACAAAACTAACTCTGTCCTATACTTTTTAAATGTTTACCTTTATACAATAATCACATATTGCATTTTAAACATAAAAACACTTACATTTTTGTTTATGTTTGACTTCTGGAGTATGTGATAAATAATTCTCAGCAGGTTCTACTTTGCATTATGAAGATATCTACTCATATTTATATTGATTCCTTCTAATTCAATGTGGATGAAGATCTAAGCATTTGAGTGAATATAATGATCCCAGAGATCAGATGTGTGTTTCTAACACACTGGAAGATGTGTGTTCTAATGATATTAGAAACATTACTGCCAGCCAAGGTTTCCAAACACACTCACAGTTTCCTCAAACTAGAACTGAAGAAATTAAAAGTTAAAGTCATTATTAGCATTCTAAGTTGGAAAGAAGTTTTGCAAACAAGGCTATATATGTAATATAAATTTATTACAGATTACTATTTAACTGTGCTTCACTTGATCAAAGTCTACCATTGCATAATGTAAAACACACATATTGCAAATTCACAGCATTCTATAAAGCAAGAGAACATCTAAGATAATGGTTTAAATTGAAGATACTTCTTTATTTAACACACATATTTAACTAGGTTTAGAAAAGACCTTAAAAGTACAAAGAATTCATATTAATAAACTTGCATATCTCATTTATCCAGTAAGACTGAAAGATGAGATGTTGCACATTAGTGATTTTTCAAATAGCCAAAGTTAGCCATTTCAAATGTCTTTTTTAAAATGACAAACTATTTAAACTGGATTTGATATTTTCTCACCTAATGAGCAGAATATGGAGCAGAAGTTAGCTTTGTCCTGAGGCTGTGGATGTCGGTTGTTGTACTGGATAAGGCTCTCCTTGATGGCTAAGGTTTCTAAGAGCTGTTTGACTCTCTTGCTATCTCCTACCCATTGTTCCCAGCATGTCTGCAACCCTCTTTTTGTTCTTCCTTTTTCTATTCTAGAAGGAAACATAATAATAATTGAAAATGTCCAGTGAAAGCCTGATAACAAGCTTGTTTAATCTGTGAATTACTTTTACACACAAACCTGAGTCAACATATTCTGATATGAAGCTCTGATAACAGCTTCGCTCCTCTCTAGTGGTGAGAATAGTACCTTTATTCCTTAGCTCAATATGCTGCTTTTTGCTAAGTCCAGACTGTGTACCTTGATCCAGGTGGATAAGATGATAGAAAAATCGGTTGGCAAATCATAATCATAACAAAGTTTAAGTGACTTGCGTGCCTGTGAAAGCTGTAATCGCCAAGATGGGCTCCCAATTAATAACACCCCTCTTACCTACCAGGTGGTGAGCAATTTGAGTAAGAAAATAAGAATGGAAGTCATTATTAATTAAATTCAGCTGGAAGTATGGACCCCCAAATGGGCTACTGGCTAACCACAGAATTAGGAAGATTTACCCACTCAATCCTAGGAGGCTCAAACCTAAGCAAGTCCTCACAATGGAGGCTGACTCCCAAGAGAAAGATGAAGAGCTGAGTTATGCATGCTTCTGGTGTCTTTTTAAATTTGCCAATATCTTTCTCTCTCTCCTTTTTTTTTTTTCTTTCCAGTGGACAGGGAAAAGTTATTTACTAAATGAGTAAATGTTTGTGTGAATGAATGAGCAAATTTGGTTCTTCCTAGTTGATGAGTGGGGAATTTAAAAAATATGGAATGCTTCACAAATTTGAGTGTCATCCCTTGCGAGTGGCCATGCTAATCGTCTCTATATCATTCTAATTTTAGTATATGTGCTGCCCACAGCGAGCACTAAATTTATCAACACCTCTTAGCTGCTGTTTACATTCAGTCTACCCAGCTTTCAATTCCGTATAACCAGCCTTCCCTTACTTCTTCATCTCTTCCTCCTTTAATTCCCTCAGGTGCCAGGATGGAGCTAATCATACTCATTTCAAGGCACAGTATCATCAAGGTCCATACCCAGTCCCTTTTTGTTTATTTATGTATATACTATTTACCTACCATCCCTGCTTTTTCCAACCATATGCAACAGTTGTAATATAGCTTATATGCTTTCTTGAATTTGTATGCAACCCTGTAAAAAAAAAAGTATTCTTCTTTGCCTATTTTAAAACCTTTGTCTATTTTAAAACATATAATGGTTCCAAACTACACCTTACTTTTCTTACTCCACACCATGTTTTAAAGCTGTGTCTGTGCTATTACGTGTACATCTAATTCATTGCTTCTAAAGGTGATATTGTGCTCCATGGTGTACATCCACCACAGTTTACTTGCTCACTCCACGTGACGG